GGGGGGGGAGAGAAGGAAAAGGAGGGGAAGGAGAGAGAGAGAGATAGGGGCCAGAAGAGAGAGAGAGTGAGGGCTGAGAGGAGGGGAGGGTGGGGGTGGGAGTATGTTATAAGGTTGCAAAAGCCTATGTACAGGAAGATCTGTTGTCTGTCATAGGTCGTCCAGTGTGATAAGGAAGTATTACTCAAATCGTTAGTGGACATTTTATGGACAGTACTCCTTTGTGTGTTATGGTCCTCTGATGTGGTATGACCTACTCAGATATAATTATTAGAGACTCAAATTCCTAGGAAAGGTTTAAAAGGCAGTTAAAATCGCATCTTTTTGCTACGGCATATTATGTTTGATTTTCTTTTGCCCCATTATGAAGGAAAGTCTGGCTGGCCCCAACTGAATCAAATAAATTAGATATACTGTGTGCACTGGGTACTGACTTCACCTTTAGTCATTATTTATAGAGGCATTAGCCGTCTCTGTTTAGCTTGTTTTAGCTTTCTGTTTCTTCGAATCTCATCTTGTATGTTTATGGGTTTTATAAGTACTATAAGTTTATAAGTACTGTAAGTTTATAAGTACTGTAAGTTTATAAGTACTGTAAGTTTATAAGTACTGTAAGTTTATAAGTACTGTAAGTTTGTGAGAACTTTTAAGTTATGAGTACTGTAAGTTTATGAGTACTGTAAGTTTATGAGTACTGTAAGTTTATGAGCACTGTAAGTTTATGAGTACTATATTTGAGATTTTTTTTCCTTTTCGTTTGATGATCAGCCCCGCAAGAACTCCACTCAGACCACAGGGGGGAGGAGGATGAGGACCAGGAGGAGGAGGAGGAGGAAGAGGACGACAGCATCCGGCTGAACAAATACGTCATCGACCCGGACATGATCCATCCACAGTCGCCCTACGAGGCAGTGCTGGCCTCAGAGCCTGACCTCAACAAACGACCGCAGAAATCCGCGCTCAAGAAGTCGGGTCTGGTGGGGGCGGGGACTGCTGGAGGTGGGTGTCTGTCTGTCTCTGTGTCTGTGTCTGTGTGTGTGTCTGTCTCTCTCTCTGTCTGTCTCTCCCCCTCTCTCTCTCTCCCTCTCTCTGTCTCTGTCTCTCTGTGCCTGTGTCTGTCTCTCTGTCTCTGTCAGTCTCTGTCTCTGTCTGTCTGTCTGTCTGTCTGTCTGTCTGTCTGTCTGTCTGTCTGTCTGTCTGTCTGTCTGTCTGTCTCTTTCTCTCTCTCTCTCTCTCTCTCTCTCTCTCTCTCTCTCTCTCTCTCTCTCTCACTCTCTCTCTCTCTCTCACTCTCTCTCTCTCTTTCTCTCTCTCTCTCTCTCTCTCTCTCTCTCTCTCTCTCTCTCTCTCTCTCTCTCTCTCTCTCTCTGCAGTTATGCCAAAATGTTTTGTAACTTAACATTTATAGTTGATACATATAATTAATTCTTGAAACCAATCAGTACTCACGTTGAAATATCTTGAAATCAATCAGTACTCAATCTAAAATATCTATCTGTTCAAATTATAACCCTGTCCTCATGTTGAAACATGTATGTATCTATCTGTCCCTGCCATCAGGCCTGAATGCGGCGTCTAGCTGGACGGCCCGACCCCTGGACACCAGCCGAGCCAGCCCCACCCCGGGCGCAGGCCCAGCTGGGGCTCCTCTAGGGGGTGGCAGCGCAGCCGGCCTCCCGAGGCACATTGAGGGCCCCCCGGCCCACGTGTCCCCCCAGAGCACCCCCGTGGGCACCGTCAGACCTATACCCCGGCCCAGGGTTTCCATACAAGCCACGTAAGTCTCCGCTTTCACCGTAGGTGTGGAAATTTCATTTCACTTAAGGGCTTATTACACGTACAGGCCGACCGGACAGGTTTCTGGGCTGTATGGCCAATTGTAACATGTAATAAGAAATGCGGCTCAAACCGTAGGCGAATAGCTGGCCGGCCAGATGTAAAGAACCCACGGCCGCTGCCTGTGAATTTGACATCTGGCCTGAGGGGAGTGACAACTATCTTTGAAGTTTGCTGCGCGGAGGACAACAGAACTAATTTCAAAATTATAGAAAATCATGTCGTAGATAAAAAAATAATACCATATTCAGAATCAGCGTGTCAAAATTAGGGAAATGGCCCGCAAATGACTTGTTTCGTTTTGTTTTGAAGGATATTCCATTCCTGCAAATTTTTGTTTTTTGGCGCCATGATGCTCACAAATAGGTTACCAGCTCAGAAAGATTACCAACTTAGAATAGATTACCAGTTCTGAATAGTTTGTAATTTTTATAGTTTATAGAAGGTATTTGTTTCAAACTTTTATTTTCATTATTCGGCTAAATTTACAGGAGGAGCGCTATTTTATCCTTTTATTAATTTCTGAAATCAATTCTTTGTCAGTATTTTTTATTTTGATTTGTATGATGGTTCATCTTTGTTTTTCTTTTTATTCTTTATAAAATGTTATTCTTTTTGTAGTTAAGAAGTTTTAGGCGGCGTAAGCGACGACCTTTCACAAAAATAATATGTATAGATTATTATTACTTTGTCCCATGATGTTCTGTTTGGACACCTCTCAGGGGAGACAATGAGAGTGACAAGGAGAACTCGCACCCTCAGGTGCAGGAGCAGCCCGACTACGACAATCTGGGAGACTCGGACTCGGAGGATGAGGAGATCCGATACAAGGACGATTATGATCCGAGTAAGTCTCCTTTCTCTCTGTCCTACCTGCTGTCCTGAGTAAGTCTCCTCTCTGTGGGTGGTTGGCGGGTTCTCTGGTGTGGTTTGCTCCTTCTTTCCTATCAGACATCTATCGTCTTATCTCCCCGTCTTCTTTTTTATGTTTGTTACTCTCTTGTAACACCTCTAATCTTCTGGCGCTCATATGACCTTATGCAGTTGCGAGCGCCGTAAAACCTCTGCTAAAAAAAAAGAAGTCCCCTCTCTCTCTCTGTCCTACCTGGTCTCCTGAGTGAGTCCTCTCTGTCCTACCTGCTGTCCTGAGTAAGTCTCCTCTCTGTCCTACCTGCTGTCCTGAGTAAGTCTCCTCTCTCTGTCCTACCTGCTGTCCTGAGTAAGTCTCCTCTCTCTCTCTATCCTACCTGCTGTCCTCAGTTAGTCTCCTCTCTCTCTCTATCCTACCTGCTATCCTGAGTATGTTTCCTCTCTCTCTCTATCCTACCTGCTGTCCTCAGTAAGTCTCCTCTCTCTCTCTGTCCTACCTGCTGTCCTCAGTAAGTCTCCTCTCTCTCTCTATCCTACCTGCTGTCCTCAGTAAGTTTCCTCTCTCTCTCTATCCTACCTGCTGTCCTCAGTAAGTTTCCTCTCTCTCTCTATCCTACCTGCTGTCCTCAGTAAGTCTCCTCTCTCTCTCTCTCTGTCCTACCTGCTGTCCTGAGTAAGTCCTCTCTGTCCTACCTGCTCTCCTCAGTAAGTCTCCTCTCTGTCCTACCTGCTCTCCTCAGTAAGTCTCCTCTCAGTCCTACCTTCTGTCCTGAGTATGGCCCCGCCTCTGTCCTTCATTGTGTCCTAAGGAAGTTCTATCTCTATCTTAGTGGGTGGTTGGCGTGTGATTGGGTGTTGTTTGCTCCTTCTTTCCTATAAAAATTCTTTCGTCTCTGTCTTCCCTCTTTCTTTTTTGTGTTTGTTACTCACTTGTAACACCTCTAATCTTCGGCACTTATATGACCTTATTGTGTTGCAAGTGATGTAAAACTATCTCTGTCTTATCTTGTTTCTAGCTAGATTCCAATCTTCAGCTGCGGTGTGTCTTGTATTGACCCATGAAAAACAAATTGTCTTAAGTGCCATTACCAATCTTGAGCAACTTTGGTTTTTTTAGCAAAAATGATGTAAGGATTTGATCATATTTATTACATTGTGAAATCTTTGTTCAATTTTCATCCTTCGAATTGGTATGATGTCGAAACGTTTTTGTCAAAATGCTGTGTATCCTCTTTAATTACTTTTTTTTTAACAAGAGAAAACAAATTCCTATCAAATAATACTAATTTATCAAAGCAGCATTGGATCTGACCCAAAAATGATTAATGATACCGGCACTCATAAAACTGCCATTATTATATAAAACAACAGATTGGTTGATTTTGTAGGACAGTTTGTTTCCGGAAGTCGAATACAACATTATCATTCCCTTACAGGGTTGTTAAGATTTGTGAAAAAAAGTCAAGTACTTTTGTTTAAAAAATAGCATCACTTTACTGCAGTTTCTGCCTTTTGTTGGACCCAACCGATATGTCCTTCTTCTGTTCTTCTCCTTTGTTAATTTGTGTGTCCTTGTACTGGTTCCCAGCACTAAATGACTGTTATTGTGTTGATATGCTCCCCTTTTATCAAAAAGTAGTTGGTTGGCGGGCATTCACCTGCTTCTTTCCTGTCAACATCTATGCGCTTTATCTTTTTTCCTACTTTACATTCTGTGTATTATGTTACTTATTATTTATGTATTATTATGTTACTGTCAAGTAATACCTCTATTCTTCGGCACTTATATGAATTATCTGTGTTGCAAGTGCTGTAAAAGTCTTACTTAAACTAAAACTTGACAAAACAACACCGTGGGTGTCGTCCTTATCTCTCCTCCTTTTTTAGTGTATGTTACTCTCTTGTAACACATCTATTCTTCGGCACTGATATGACCTTATCGTGTTGCAAGTGCCGTAAAACTCTTACTGAAAAAAACAACAACCCCACCCTCCATTTCCGCCCTCAGACTCACTGGCGGCCAAAGTGGCAAGAAATGACAGTCTGGCCCGCTTCTTGGACAACCGGCCCACCAAGCATGACCTGGTGGCCAAAAATATCATTCCAGACCTGACCGACTCGCAGAAGAAAGAGCTCAGGGAGGCCGTAGGAGCCAAACTCACGCGGTCAGTTTCTCGTTCATTGCGGTGTCACTGTCCCCTTGACCACCCATTTATCTACCATCTATACTATGAAGCTGATATGTTTGTTAGGGTATAAGGGCATTTACAGGCTAGACTCAGAGCTAAGTCAATATACAGAAAGAAAGTCTAGCTTTTATTTAAATAGTCATGCTATTTTGTAAAAATTGCAGACTATGGTGCAGTTAGGTGTAAATTACAACCACCAAGTTTTCTCCCTTCTCTCTCTGACATCTTTTCCCATTATTTGTTTATTTGTGTTTTCTGTTGCAGACGGCTGAGTCTACGGCCCACTCAGGAAGAACTTGAGAACCGGAATATTCTTCATCGTAAGTGTTTTGTGGGTGAACAGTTCTGTCAAATGAAGAGATAGAAGAACAAATTATGAGTGTCCTAAAAGATCTCAATGCACAGCTTAGTATGCTGTCTGAGATGAGCACAAGTACCATGGTCATGCAAACACAAACAGAAAAACACACCTAACAACAGCTGTGCTGTAGTGCAAAATGTACAGTTGACCTTCTAATCTTCGGCAATCTCAAGGTTTATTTGTATTACAGGTGCCGTAAAGCTTTTGCTAAAACTTGACTAATCTGCTTAAAATGACTGTTCTTGCTTCTCCTTTTGGAAACAAACAAAAGCTAAACTGAAAAGATCTTTCATTCATACATTTGACAATTACCTTTTGAGATTCTTGGCAATGGATTTTGTTTTGGGGTTTTTTGGGTTTTTTTTTTTAATTAGTTTTTTTTGTTGTCTTCCAGAACAATCCACAGCTGAGCAGCGTGCGGAGAAAGAGAGAAAGAAGAGATACCTTATCCGGAAGGTAAATTCTGCTGTGCCATATGCTGACAAAATGCCCTTTTCTTATTCACAGCAGCTTGCCTCCTAAATTGTGTCTAGTTTGACATAAAAGGTTTACTACAAATGTTACAATTGGCCATGTGTAAGGGCTGATAAGCACGGATCTGAAGTGCTCTGGTGTGGTTTGCTCCTTCTTTCCTATCCAACATCTACCTCCTTATCTCTCCTTCTCTTTCTCTCTGTATGTTACTCTCGAGTGAGTGGGTGGTTGGTGGATGCTCTTGTGTGGTTTGCTCCTTCTTTCCTATCAAAAATCTATTGTTTTTATCTCCCCTCCTTTTTTGTGTGTCTTTTTTACTCTCTTGTAACATCTCTAATCTTTGGCACTTATATGACCTTTTTGTCTTGCAAGTGCGGTAAAACTCTTACTAAAACTAAAACTCTCGAATAAGTCCTCTAATCATCAGCACTCATAAGACCTATTTGTGTTGCAAGTGGCATAAAACTCTTTCTGAAACTAAAAGTAAACAGATCTGAAAGCTGCTGTGTTAGTGGTTGTGGGCACCTGTCACAATTGACTCGTGCAGATCTGGTCTTTTCTGTCAAATGAGAGGAGCGAGAAGACAAAGTGGGTAGTTCTAACCTCGTCTGAACAGCAGATATTTGGATGTAGAATTTGCTTTTTTCCCTTCAAAACAGAAAGCATTCGTGTTACGATGGGGTGGAATCAGGCGTTCGTCAATTTTTGGGCATGTGGAGTTATTGGTATCATCTGAAAGCTGATTTTTTTTATTTGCCTTGCTTCCAATGAAATAAATATCTTTTTATCTTGAATAGAACTAAAAGATCTACATTCGTAGAAAGTAAGAAATTAGCGAGAAAATGGCCACTAAAGTTTGGTAACTAATGGCTAAAGAGTCTTTGAAAACTGAAAAAAATGACATATTTTGTGCCTTTAATCAGTTTTTCAGTAAAATTTCCCTGAAAATGTGTTTTTATATGGACCTAAAAGAGGTTACGCCAAAAAATAAAAATTGGATAAAAATGTGCGGACTAGCGGGGAACTGCCTGTTTCTCTGATTTCGTTATTTTGACAAGCACCCAATTTCACCTTTCTATTTTCTTCTCTTTCACTTTCGCATTTTGTCGTTTTTCTTGTACTTTATTTTCACCTTTTTCTACATCCTTGTATTTTTCCAGCTGAGCTTCCGGCCCAGTATAGAAGAGCTGAGAGAGAGAAAAATCATCGACTTCAGTGATTATGTAGAAGTTACCGACGCACATGAGTATGATAGGAGGGCAGAGAAACCCTGGACAAAACTCACGCCCAGAGACAAGGTGAGTGAAGGAGTGAGAGAGGGAGGGAGTGAATAAGGGAGTGTGAGTGAAGAAGTAAGGGAGTGAGTGAGTGAGGAAATAAGGGAGTGAGTGAGGAAATAAGGGAGTGAGTGAGTGAGTGAGGAAATAAGGGAGTAAGTGAGTGAGGAAATAGGGAGTGAGTGAGTGAGGAAATAAGGGAGTGAGTGAGTGAGGAAATAAGGGAGTGAGTGAGGAAGGAAGGGAGGGAGGGAGGGAGCACAAGGCCTGGCATAAATTACTCATCCGTAGTAGTTTGGATGTTTGGAGAATGTTGTGAGTCCATTTTCAGGGTTGCCAGTTTTCTGGCGGCCTTTTAAAATCCTCCTGTCTTTTTCGCATCTTTTCCGGCCAAGATCGTCGGAGCTGGGAACATTTTTCCTGCTTGGTCGGCAAATTGTAACCCGACACGGGCTAGGCCTGAAGGAAGACCAGAACGGGTCGTTGAACTCTTGTGCATTTCCGGTTGGGGCTGGGCATTATTCGTTTTTTTAAAAAAATGAATAGATAGGTACCTAGTATTTTAAAAATCCGAATAAATAAAACAAGACGAGTCAGAAACTAGGTACCTAATATTCAAACAGGTACTTAGTTTAAAACTACAGTTTACACCAGAAATCTTGACTACTTGTATGACCTTATTGTGTTGCAAGTGCCGGAAAACTTTTACTGTGGGTGGTTTACGGGTGCTCTGGTATGGTTTGCTTCTTCTTTCCTATCAAACATCTATCGTCGTTATCTCCCCTCCTTTTTTTTGTGTTTGTTACTCTCTTGTAACACCTCTAATTTATGACCTTATTGTGTTGCAAGTGCTGTAAAACTTTTACTTAAACTAAAACTGGTGGGTGGGTGTGTTATCCACAGGCTGCTATCCGGAAGGAGCTGAACGAGTTCAAGTCCCGCGAGATGGACGTTCATGAAGACAGCCGGCATCTGACCAGGTAAACAAACACACAATCACATGCACGCATGTACACACACACACACGCGCGCGCGCGCATGTATGTATCCACACACGCTCATGCACACTCTCATACACACACACACACACACGCATGCATGCACACACACGCATGCATGCTCACACATACACACACACACACAGGCACACACGCACGCTCACACACACAATGAACAATTGTTAATAATAAATAATAAAGTACTTGATACATAGTTAGTACTGTGCAATGGTGTAGTTCACAAGAGGGAATGCTGTTTTCTTTCATCTTTATCAAAACTCGTAACTAAAACTGATATAACTCTCTCTGATGATTAATGAAAGGGTAAAGCTGTTCCCTCAGATTGTTTACAAAAGGTTGATTGTCTTCTCTCTGATCCTTAAAAAAAACTAAATGCTGTTCCTCTCTGATCTTTAACAAAAGGTAAATGCTGTTCCTCTCTGATCTTTAACAAAAGGTAAATGCTGTTCCTCTCTGATCTTTAACAAAAGGTTAATGCTGTTCTCTCTGATCCTTAATGGGTGGTTGGCGGGTGCTCTGGTGTGGTTTGCTTCTTCTTTCCTATCAAACATCTATCGTCCTTTTCTCCCCTCCTTCTTTTTTATGTTTGTTACTCTCTTGTAACACCTCTAATCTTCTGGCGCTCATATGACCTTATGCAATTGCGAGTGCCGTAAAACCTCTACTAAAACTAAACTAAGATCCTTAACAAAGACTTAATGCTGTTCTCTCTGATCTTTAATGGTTAAAGCTGTTCTCTCTGATCCTTTACGGTTAAAGCTGTTCTCTCTGATCCTTAATGGTTAAAGCTGTTCTCTCTGATCCTTAATGGTTAAAGCTGTTCTCTCTGATCCTTAATGTTAAAGCTGTTCTCTCTGATCCTTTATGGTTAAAGCTGTTCTCTCTGATCCTTTATGGTTAAAGCTGTTCTCTCTGATCCTTTATGGTTAAAGCTGTTCTCTCTGATCCTTAATGTTATTAAAGCTGTTCTCTCTGATCCTTAACAAAAGGGTAATGCTGTTCTCTCTATCTCCCTCCCTCCCCAGGTTCCACAAGCCTTGACCTCAGCTGGACCTAATCCTCCTCCAACTGGCCATAATCCTGTACAGACCTGCCTGCCTCTCTGAGCCCGCGCTAAACCCTGTCCTTGACCCGCCCTCTTGTCTACCGCAGCTGCAGCTGTTCCTGTCCTCGCAGCTGTTGCAACTGTCGTGTCGTCGCAGCTGTCGTGTTGTCACAGTTGTCATGCCATCGCAGCTATCACAGCTGTCTTGTCATCGAAGCAGTTGTGTCGTCACAGCAGCTGCAGCTGTCATGTTGTCGCAGCAGTTGTTGTCAACACAGCTGTCGTGTCGTCACTGCTGTCGTGTCATCACAGCTGTTGTGTCGTCGCAGTTGTCATGTCGTGGCAGCAGTTGCAGCTGACGTCCTGCCTGTCTAAATGAGGTGATCCAGCACCTACTCTTCAACGGCTGGGGTTCGAATCCTCAGGCTCTCAGATGGGAGTCCTGAAGGATTTTCTTCTGATGCCCCTTCTCATCCTAGAATTCTAATGTCAGACGGGATTCCCCTCACCCCCTCTCCCTAAAGCCAGTGGTGCAGTTTTTCGTACAGGTCCCGAACCTGAGACCCCCCTGGATTATATAGTGTGTTATCTCTACATGATGCACGCGGCTGTGAAAGATGTCCGAATGACTCGTGTTGTTTTGTCAGATGTTTCTGTGAGTCCAAACTTTTGTCCCCCGCATTTGTCTGCTGAACATATCTCTGGGACTCTGTGCTACAGATCTTATCAATGATTTCTGGGGGAAATTTCACTTTCTTTGACCTGAGGAAGTGTGGACGTGGTGCGCTGTGGATGTGTCACTGTGTTACTTGGAGGCTTTGAGAATGTCATACCTTGAAGATGTACCCCCCCCCCAGAGTATGTAGTGTGTGTTGTGAGAAAGGGGAGGCAAAGACAGACAGAGAGAGAGAGAGAAAGAAGTTCAAGATAAGAGAATTTTCTTTGTTTAGTTTCCTCCTTTTAAGTCTGAGGTCTAGAGTAAAATGTCAGGCTAGTCTGCGTGTTGGGCATCAATGCATTTCAACCCCATCAAATCCTCCCCCAGCTCAAAGCCTCTTTCTGTATCGTCGCCCAGAATTTTTCTCTCCTTTTATTCCTCCAGTTCAATTTTTTTTTTTCGAGGAATGGTGAACAAATTCCAGCCGAGAAGTAATCAAGTTTTTCAAGATGATTGTTGCAGTGGTTGTGCTTCTGCAACCGAGGGAGGAAATTTAGCATTTAAGTCTTTGTGCATTGTACATCGGTGAAGGCGTGAATGGAGCTATGTACATGTGTGTGCCTGGCGCTCGGTGTGTCACGATTGCTGCGCTCTTCTTGTGGACATGGGAGAGCAGATGCGTGCGTCATCAGTCTCATGGTTGCCTGGGAAACGGCAGAGAGAGAACAAATACAACCTCATAGTCATAACACAAAGCCATCCATTGATATTGCTGTGTTAAGCAGTACAAAAGGTTATCCTTATGACTTTTGCAAGGTGAAGATATCTCATTGATTTGATTTTTAGTACATGAAACACAACCCTATAACAGTGGTCCTTTTAAAGCAAATGCGGTTAATGCAAAAACTACGGTGAACTGTAGAATCAAATTCCTGATTTTCTATTTCTTTTACTTTAGAATTATTTTTTTTAAACTATTTGCACAAACTCCCTTTACCGAAAACCTAGCTTTAAGCGGTCTGCACTGAATGTATTGGGGATTTTTATTGGATACCATACCAGCTTCTAGTCTAGAGAACTGAAAAAAAATTACTTTGGCATTAGTGTTATGACTGTGACAAATATATGAACAATGTTGGGACATGGGATCAGTTCCAGAACAAGATATGGCTGAAATTCTCTGCCTGGTTTTGTTCCTTTTATGTCAGAATTTTGTGGCAGCCAGTACTGGCCTATTGTGCTATTCTCAGTTGTCTTTTCATCACCCTTTCTTCTAATGTAGGTCAAATTAGCCCCTTGCATATTTTTGTTCTCAGAAGGCTGAAAGGAGGGGAGTGGTGGGGTGGAAGAAAGATTCATATAATCTGCATCTGCTCAATGGGTTTGTGTGAGAATTTCATGGTATTTTAGAAGCAAATTGTTTGATGTGAATGAAATCAAAACGTGCACGTTTCTTGGGCATTTCCTCTTTTTTTCTTACTGTCTGTTCAGACAGTCAAGTCCACAGAATGAATTTTACGAAAGGTTTCTCATGCGAGGCTATATATAGTGCAAATTTTCTGTTTCTGTTGATGGCATTTGTCCTCAAGCATTGCTTGTAGATCTCACCGTGGCATTAGAAGGAAAAAGTTACAGTAGAGTCCGCTAAAACCCTACACGGTTTATCGGAAAACTGGGGTAAACTGAAATGAAGAGAATCCGTAATTTTTCTCTCTGCTGTTTAAGCAATATCTCTCTGAACTGTAAACATCTATACCAGAAGGAAATCTGGCAGTCCGGCAGATAACAGTTTCAGTGGACCCCACTGAGTTGCTTTTGCTTTTTCCCAGCTCTTTGGTACTTGTAATGGTAAGTTCATCTTGACAAGAAGAGACGCAATGTCTCCTTCTCCACTGCTTGGCGTAAGTCTCCGTTATACTGGGGTATGTCTCTACCTGTGCTTCCGTCTCTATTTCTGTCTCCATCTGGTCTGTATCTATTCCGTCTCTGTTTTTGTCTGTGTCTCTGTCTCTGTCTTTGTCTTTGTCTCCATCTGGTCTGTGCCTACTCTGCCTGTGTGTACATCCTCTCCTAGGGTTTTCCTCAGTCCCTGGTTTTGCTCAAAACAAAGATGGACACGACAGCTCTTGTGTGCTTGGTGACTTTAAGTAGACAAACTTTTACATCTTTGAGGTCGATTGTTTTTTTAATACACTCTAGGCTATTCCAAGAATGGAAAAAAAGAACTTCTGAACTGCTAATCTTGCCTGTGCAAACTTTTAGCATGTGTAGCATATCAGCATATTTAGATTTTTTACCAGAATGTTTTTTTCACTTTGATTGTAAACATACAAGCAAAAAAATGTAGACAAATGTTTGAATGGTAGCAGCAGAAGTTAATTCTTTTCATAGAGAAACCAGTGGGAAACAGTCGCTGACATTAGCCTGCGATCAGGCGAGTTCGCTGCAACACTGCACGGGTCGAGATAAGCTCCGTGCTGCACACAGATTGTTCACCTATTGTTGTTGAATATTTCTCCCTTCTTTTGTCGACTCATTGAGGGCTCGCACTCTGGTTACTCAACAGCGCTGGAAGATCTTTGAAGACGCTTTGTTTTGGGGCATTTTTAAAAGAAGAAATGCAACTTCGTCGTTATTCACACAGATTTTTTAAAATAATTTTGTTTCCTTTACCTGAAACATGAAAAGGCAGACAACAACATGCATACTATGGAATATGCAAACTCATGTTTCTGATTCATATGTTTTGATGTTGGAAATGTGCGTCAACATCGCCTTTGGTCTGCTGCTGATAGAACATATTATATATAAAATATATATATATATATATATATTATGTGTGTGTGTCACGACGCAATGGAATCAGGCGCTCGTCAATTTTAGGGCACGTGGAGTTATTGGTATCATTATAAAGCTAGTTAATTTGTCTTGCTTGTGATAAAAAAATTACCCATCTATCTTAAATACAAGTGGAGATATTTGCAATTGAAGGAGGTGGTGTCGCCGGTTTTTAGAGGTAGAATTAGCGAGAAAATGGCCACCAAAGTCTGATGTCTTAAATGATAGCTTGAGAGACCTTGAAAACAAATAATTTACATTTTTTGGTGTTTTTTATCAACTTTTTCTTTGAAGTTGTCACAGAAATGTGTTTTTTCAATAGATATAAAAGCTGTTGAACCAAAAAACAAGAATTTGAAAAAAAAATTGCAAAACCAACAGAAAAATGCAGATTTCTCTGATTTCATTATTTTGACGAGCGCTTCATTTCACCATGATGCCTCACATATATGTATATGTCTGCTGCGTCCTTACAGAGTTGGGTTCTAGTTTTCAGCTGTGTGGGGAGGAAGAAGAGCAACGAGGCAAGTGGGTGGGGCAGTGATGCCGTCTTTCTGGTTTCCTTAGTTATTTCCGTGATCTTCTCTAGAAGAATAGTTATTGTTCTAAGTATTTGTTTTTCTGTTATACTCCGTATGAGATATAATGTCTGATAACTCTTTTTGTTTGCCAATGTAAACTCTGTCAACTTTTCGTTATTTTTACAAAATCCCATTGACCTCCCTGGGGGGGGGGAAGAGAAGAGATGTTCAGAATGTACGGAGAACCCTCCACCCACATGTGTCAGGTCCTGTACTTTTTGTGTAGGTCAAGGGGTTCCACAGCTTGTTCTTGGGCTGTTGTAAAGTTCCTAGGTACTTTTGGGAGACATGCTAAATTTATGATCTCTCTTGCATTTAGAATTGTTTTTCCCCCCCATCTCTAGCTAGCTCATTCATGCTTCAGGGTGGTCTCTTCCTGTTCTCGTAATATCTTATGATGGGAGAAATTCATGATACGAACAAATCCCCCATAAATATCTACCATTCATAATAATCATTATCTATGCATGCAAAGATTTATAGTTTGTTGTAGTTGTACTCATTATTATGAATTGTCTAAGAAAAAACAATCGAATTGGCTAAAATGTTTGCACATTAAAAAAATCTCTGTGTCTTCTTGTTGTCTTGAGTCTCATAGTTGTTTTTTTTTACAGATTTTCTTTAATAGGAGAGGTGATTTTTTTATTCACTTGGGATGAAAAGTGTTCAGTTCTCAAGAACTTAGTCTGAAGAATGATCCAGAGTAGTAATCCTTGGTGGGTCTGTGGGAAGTGGGCATGTCCTTTTGTCCTGAGCTACACCCTGACATGGTGAACTACAAGCCACTAAAGGAAACACTTAGAAGTGCTGAAGTCCCTCGCGTGATTACTGAGCTTATGTAGACAGTGGTTTTGTTATCGCACTTTTGGTGGTGCTGGAAAAAGAAAGTTTCGGAAAGAAGATGGGTGTTTGAGGTTTGGTTTCACAATGTAGTAATTTACCAGAGTTGTCTGAATATTTTTAAAAATGTTTTGTTTGTGTGTGTGTTAGGTAGATGTAAGAGAGTTGAGCAAGAAGCGTGTGGTCTGTGCTCACTATGCTGAGAACGACCGCGTGAAGCTGGTTACAGTACAGCCGCTGCTGCCTCGTCCCACAATGCCTTGTTGTTATCGCTGTGTTTCTTTCCGTCATGGTCTTGTTGTAACACAATAGTTCTGAGTTGATTCTCAAACTGTCAATTGTAATGACACTTTTTGAGATGTAAAGAGACATAGAGAATAGGGCTGAGAATGTGACGATAAGTCTGTGCATGTTCAGTAAGCCCTATGTGCGTTGTCCGCAATGAGAATGAAGTCTCGTTGAAATATTTATGTTATGGCCTATTAGAAATGAGAAACTTGAGTGACTCTACCACCACATTACCACTAGCAAAATTGTCACCCGTGCACCATGTATGTTCTATTGGGTTGTAATGAATAAGCTGTGAGGTGTGGACGCGTTGGGTCTGTCCCTCCCCGTTCTTCCATCCGTCTCTCCTCCCGTACGACTGTCTCTGTATTCAGAGACTTGCTGGATCAGGCTTCAGGAGGGTTGTCGCTCCTGCCCCGAGTCTCTCGGAAATCTTTGTCCCGAAAAGAAAAACAAAACATCCTGCCATTCCCCTCTGATGATGAACCATTTTGTCAAAAGTCACAATAAAGATGAAAATTGTAGTACAATGTGGTCGTTGCTATCTTTTTCTGCCGATGTTATCTCATGGGTTTTGTTTGAGAAAATATTTTTGTTTTATTTTGTTCTCTTTGTCACACTTCAGAGAAGTTTCTTGTTCCTGCAGTTGTTCTGTTTGTCTTTTCGTTGATTGTCGGTGACGTCCATAGTTGTGAGGTTTGGCGAGTCACTGGCCTGGTCAACGATTGTCGGTGATTTAAGGAGGTGTGAGCTTTGGTGGGTGGATCAGGGACCTGGTCAACGATTGTCGGTGTATGGTAGTCCTGAGGTGTGAAGTTTGGTGGGTGGCTCAGGGACCTGGTGTAAAACCTTCTCCCCAGTAGTGTCTGTCTGTGTGACCTCTACACCGTATGTCTCACCCTATGTCTTACCCTATGTCTCACCCTTTGTCTCACCCCTGTACTGTATCCCAAGTGGTTGGCGGGTGCTCTGGTGTGGTCTGCTCCTTCTTTCCTACCAAACATCTATAGAATCCTGATCCATCCTTCTTTTTTTGTGTTTGTTACTCTCTTGTAAAGCCTCTAAATTTCAGCACTTTTTGACCTCATTGTGTTGCCAGTGCCGTAAAACTCTTACTAAAACAAATCCTCGGCACTTATATGACCTAGTTGTGTTGCAAGTGCTGTAAAATTCTGACTGCAGGATCAATACTGGGACCATTACATTTTATGATGAGGATACTTTTACTTTTGTTTTGAAGTATTTTCCCAAAGTTTCAACCCATGTACGATACATCCTCCTCGCCTTTATAAGCATGATGTAAACCACAATCGTGTGGGTGGTTGGTGGATGCTCTGGTGCAGTTTGCTCCGTCTTTCCTATCGAAATGAATCGTTCTTATCTCTCTTTCTTCTATTCTTTGTATGTTACTTTCTAGTAACATCTCACTTTTTATATGACCTAACTGTTGCAAGTGCTGTAAAACTCTTACTAATTACTAAAAAAAAATTTTTTAATGACAAATACGTAGTGGCTCCAGATGAGTTTGAAATTGATTTGTTTAATGTTTTGCCACTTGACTAACCACAGACCCTGAAATGTCTTCACTGAAACCTGTTTAGGAAGTGGCTGGGGATTTGAAAGCTTCACGGGGGTAGGTCCTACTTCTTTACTTTCCCTCTGTCGTTCTTGTCTTCCTTTTTTAACTTGCACTTGATGACCCTTATTGAGTGGATGTGCTTCTTTTTGCTCAAACACATGAAGCTAGAACTAGAATGTCAACGACATATGTCCTTGTTCTGTCTTTCCTATCAGAAGTCTATCCTTCTTATCTCTCTTCTTTCTGTTCTTTGTATGTTACTGTCTAGTACTTCATGCAGTCACGAGCGCCGTAAAACACTTACTAAAACTAAACTTATCTGTCTAGTAGTAGCATCTTTAATCTTCGGCACTTACATGACGTAATTGCATTGCAAGTGCCGTAAAATTCTTACTGAAACTTAATGACACGTCCAGCTGCTTGTGGTGATGCTATGTGGGTCATTTAGGAAAATTGGAATTGGACTATTTGGGAATCTCGTTGTTTTTCAGAATGTTGTTGTATTTGTGTTCCTGTGTTGGGGAAAAATTACTGTGGGAGCAGAAGTTTGGAATTTCCTTGTAGTTGCGGGAGATAATCAGCGTTTGTCGTTGCACCTCTTTGTGTATGGTTTGGAGTTCAGATCTTTGTGTATGTGACATGATCAGACAGATGAGGGAGGAGACTTGGGGTTATACCATGTGATGGATGGTTTGGGGTTCAGATCTCGTGCTGGTCACACATGGTGAAAGTGGCTAGGAGCTGCGCTGCACGATTCTTGGGGGCTCGTTTTGTGTTCATTTCTCTCGTTGTTTATTTCTGGTTCATGTAATGAATTACTGGGTTTTTTTCATCTCTTTTTTTCCTGTACAGTTTTCATTTTGTTATCAGTTTGTATTTCTGAATTGTATAGTGTTATCTTGTACATACTTACTTGTGCAACGTTGGACTGTACGCATCATGTGTGGACATGTAGAAGGGACAGCTGTACGTGGGTGGGAGTTTTATGTTGTTGTGGCAAGCCTGAGGGCTGGCTGAGAGAGACGAGGCACTTGTGGCCCACACACTGGTGGGATGTACACAGACTGCTGTTTGAACTGAAAACCCTGATTGTGTTGCAAGTGCTGTAAAACTCTTACTTTAAAACTGACAGAACTGAAAATTTAAGAGTCTCACAAAGCAATGGTTTCTCTCAAATTTTCCTTACTTCACTCAGGTGGGAATGGTTACACAACTATAGACAGTTCAAGTTCTTGTCAATTTTTTCATATTTAGAGTTCTTAACAGACTTTTTGCACTGTACACTTCTTGGAAAGCTGAGAATGTTTCGGATGGCTCTTGGGTCTGCTGGAGTTATAACATAATTGAATAATTGTAAAGCATGCAGAGTTTACTGTTTAGTAAAGGTATGTGCTGTAAAAGTAGGCTATACAAATGCTATTATTATTTTGAAATTGATTTAAAAAGTGATTTTAAGTTATAACTTGTCTTCAAATTGTGCA